CTCGGTCTCGTCCCCAAAATGGTAGGAATGTTGAGTCGGCGACTCGGGCCACTCTCACCCATACAGATCAAAGGACGAGCCCTCACGGGCAGGAGTCCATAACTCACTCAGGATTGAGAATGAGTTGCCTGGTCATCCTAAGAAATGGCAATCTATTAGTTAACGGTGTTAGATCTAAAGATTGCCTATTTCGCGGTCCGGTCTTATACAAACTCATTGTATAGGATACCCCCACTCGCATGTCTCCACACGAACGACCTGGATCGAGTCGTCTGTAACCTTTACAGAGCGGGCCGTATCCATAGTGTTGCCAGGATAAGGTACCCAGCTTTATCCATATACTATAGACCCTTTAGGTTATTCACGGGACATTATCCATTCATATATCAGGGGTATATCAAATATATACCTCGTATATCAACTATATACCCAGAATATATACTGCCCCAATTATATTCAAATAACCTTGGATGTTTAGTTTATTGGATTTGGACAATGCAATGCTATGTTTCAACAACAAATTTATTGAATAAAACTTTATTGAATATAATTTGTTTTTACATAATACAAACTATGAGTTTAGGGCAACACACCCAACAAATACAAGACTGAATCTAAATACTTAGGAATAAATGTTCTAAAAGAAACGACTAAAAAGGGAATGTTCCCTACATAAAGCAGCTAAGAAGTTTTCAAACTCCTCTTCATTTGATTGCAGTGGCGAAATCTCCTTTTTTAGCTCAGTTCCCCACTCTACAAACATCCCAGCTCTTCTAGCCATTGCCCTTATTCTCTCTACTGCACCACCTATCTGAACCCTCATGTCTTAGCATCTCTGAGTTAAATCCTGGTTTTCTTGTTGCAGAATCACTGAATTAGCTTCATTATTTAGAAGCACCTCATACTTCTCCACCAATTCTCTGTGTTATGATAATATTCTTGCTGTAGAGTCTTGACATCTTGAATCCGGAATTCCAAATTTTCAATGGTCATACGCAATGCCTCGTTATTTCCTTCAGATTCAATTACTTGTTGAGTACGAGCCTCGATTGTTGTATTTAATCTAGAAATAAGCTGTCGAAAAGATGCAACGCTATTCTCCAAACTGACAATTCGCGCATCATTTTCTTTTTGTACAACTTCTATCCTTACTTTTATGGCTCTGACTCTTTTATCGAGGTGTCTATTTTTGAGGTCCACCTCCCAATTCTCCATCTCGAGCTTGACTTAGTTATGCAACCATTTCCTGGTTTCTACCAAGTCCCTCTCTGCCTCTACAGTCTGTTGTTTCCACTAATTCATTTCTTGCAGCAACTCTTCATTCCTCCGACGGAGTAACAAGTTTTCTTCCTCTAGGTTGGTGCTTCCATCTGACACCTATCGTTGGATAGAAGCCATTTTTTCTCCTGATCTCTTTTCCTTTTCTTAACTGTATGCACTGTTCGATTAGCTTCATACCAGGACTTGTACTCTAGCGTGGTGGAATCACTGTGCTTTTTTATTTTTATCTTTCTCACATCTCGCCAGGATTCTATCACTTGCAAGATCTTCTTCCCCGAGTCTTTCAGATTGTAATTAAAGTCAAAGTCTCCTAAACCTTGTACCAAAGGAACGAATTGCTCTATCAACATTTGACGTAGAACTAGGAGAGGCGCATAGCTGGTACTACCCAAGGACCCAACAATGGTATATTCTGAAGTTTTCCACACATGTAAGTGATTGGCTTCAAAATGCTCTCCATATTAACTCTTTAGATTTTAATTCTTTCAGATAGGATACCCATATGTCTCTGCTCTGTGAGTCTACTTTGTGCTCGGCCATCCCAAAATCAGCAATTAGATTTCTTTCGATGTTCCATGGTCTTGAGAATTTTACGTGTGGCTAACCAAATTCTGGTGGGCAATTTAAATGACTCATCAACCATACATATAGTAGAGAAGTACAAGCTATAAATCTGCCCTTCCCTTGCGTTTTGCAAACATCCAACGAACGTATGGTTTTAGCGATAATGGATAAAACCAAATTAATGCCATGCTGAATCCGGAGGAACAACTTGACAACATTCATATCTATGTATCCACAAAGATTTGGAAACAAGATGGTCCCAAACATGTACAATGAAAATAGCTCCAATCCTAGTTCCTCACCCTTATGTTGTCGAACGAGAGTTATGAGATAATCCAATCATATTCCTTCATTGCCGCCTTTGCTCTTGATTTGATGCTCCATCTAACTAGCAGTTACATTTCCAGCGAGCTTTGCCAGAGCCCTCTTACCCATCAATCTTTTATCATTGAAGTACATCTTAGTTTCGGACACAACAGGCATTCAGAGCAATGCTTGATATCCTTCAATGGTGGAAGTCAGGTCGAGGGAGTTGAACTTGAAACATTTATATGCTGGATCCTAGAAGTAGAGTGCGGCTGCCAAAACATTCACATTGACCTGAACATATAACATACTTGCCATATGTCCGTACTTTTTTATGAATGCGAGTTTCTGCTTTGATGCGAATCCCTCCCAAATCTCTCTCAATTTACTTACATTTTGAACACCAAAGACATTAGTCGTTGGGAGTTCAACTGAGACATGCTTTGATGGGCTGCTCCTCTTTATTGTATACATCTCCTCTGACCATTGACATACAAGCTCCTAGCTATCAATGGTGACATTTGGCTTTCCCTCCATCCTAACCCAAGTATCAGATCTGTCAGAAAGCGATCAAACATTCAAATAATAAAAATTGAAGTATTTTTTTTAAAAATATATTTTTGCATAACCAATTATGAGGTGAGAAACTAAAAGTTTTGACGGAAAAAAACAAACAAACATGAACAGAGATGTAATACACAACCAAACATGAAATAAAAAAGGAAAAAATCATAATAAAAAATATACACAATCACAAAATAATAAATACATGGGCAGGTGTATAATATACACATATAACTGAATATTCAGTGTGATTATTCTCTATGTTCTAAATGATAAAGGTTCCCAAGTTGTCCTCGATTCCTTCCTTATCCAAGAAGGAATAGAGGCACCCTTATCAGCTTCCTGATTAAGGTCGACTTGAGTGAGAGTTTTCATGTGCCTACACGGGAGTCCAATACTCCACAAAGGTCGCTACTACTCATCCTAGATTCTAACTTAAAGGTAAAGCCCGGGTAGGAGACTTGTGTACGTGTGTGTCAAAATAAAATAAAATAAGGCCATATTTAAAAAACAATACAAAAAAATAAATTTGACCCGCTTAAAAGATTGTTCCCCAGTGGAGTCGCCAAATTGTCGCT